ACAGTCACAGGCTTATCAATATCGTCATTTAGGTTGAATAATTTTGGATCGTAGACTGACAATCCAGTATACACAGAAATATTTTGTATTTTCAAATTTAATAAAAGACTATGTTTATTTAAATGTTCATTAGCGATATCAGGTGTTATGTTATCCATATCGATTTGATCACACGTATAAATATTAGTTAAAACAGTTGCCAACAATAAACTAATTAAAATCATATTGAAAAAAATTATCTATGAATGAAAATTTAACGTCGATATACCGAAGAAAAAAGTTATTACTATGTACTATTTAATATACGTGGCTTTTTTATATTATGAATAAACTGTAAAATAACTGAACTAATAATAACTTCTGACTAATTTTAAAATTAAATAAACTATTTTTACATTTATTTAAATATAAAGGTAACAATCGTTAGTTTACTTTTGAGTATAAAAAATTTAAATTATGTGCGTTTTATTTATACATTATAAAAAGTAGTTGGTATGAATGTGAATAAATAGGATAATGATTTTAGCTTAATATTAAGTTTTCTCCTTTCCTTTTTTAAAATGTTTTACACCACACACAAGCAGTTTAATTATTTTACAAATAAAAAAAGTTCTATTAGTAACAAATAAATAGTTCTTGAAAAATTATACAAAAATATTGAATAAATTATTCACCATTTGATAAAATAATATACCTAACTAAAAACTAATAAAACATGATCAATAATAATATAATCACAGAAACAGGCACGTAGCCAGAAAATGTTTAATGGAGGGCCCAACAATTTTGGGCCCTTGTATCATTTTCCGTAATTTGTTTCCCATTAACAGCTTGTGGGGGGACTTCCTCCACTCTTCCTTAGACAGTATCCCATTTTATGAATCTTACATATTCAAAATTTGTGTTTATTTTTAAAAATTTGGTGGATTATTACAAAAGTTACAAGTTCTGCTATTTCCTTATTAATATCCTGATTAAGATAAAGTATGTCGAATGAAAAAGGAATTATTAAAAATATTATTTCTCATAAAAAAATTGTGTTGATCCATACATTTTTCAAAAAGTTATAGCATTATAAAGTTAAAAATGTAAAATACAAAATTGAGAATTTTCACACAAAAATAGCATTTGGTAGCCATTTTCACCGTGAAGACAAAATAAAGTCCGAAATTTTTTTAAATATAAAAGTACATTAGCTTTAATTTAAGATATAGATAAAGTGTCAGACTTTCCGGAACATTTTAAAAATTTAAATGGAAAAAGTTAATTTTTTGTGAAAAAGTTGTAATTTTAAATAGTTAATCGAAATGATCTCTTTTTTCTTCATCGGCTATTCTTAATGGATAAACTAAATTTTCATTATTCGCACAGTCGCTTTTTTAGCTTCGATGCGAAGCGGAGAAGGTATTAATTTTACTATGATGTTTTTTTTTTTTTTTATGTCTGTTGCCACTTTTTCTCAGCTCTCACTGGACCGATTTCTTTCAACAATACGTCAAAAGATCACAAATCGTATCTAGTTGAAGACATTACCCTTAAAAATTGAAAAAAATTCCCTCGTTCCCCGCAAATGGGGGAAATATCCAAAAAAATTACAAATTTAAAAATCGCTAATTTTTGAAATTTTTTCACTTTTTTTTCTTAAATCTTCCATAACTTTTTGAAAAATCTACAAATCAACATAATTTTTTTTTATACTAAAACTTTAGATATTTACCTTTTATTTGATATCATTTTTTTGAAAATCTATCACTTAACCTGCTCATTGGGGGGGATTTAAAATGGCAACTTTTTTACAAAAATTAATTTTTTCAACTTAATTTTTGAAAATGTTCCGGAAATACTGCGTCCTTTAAACATATATCAAATTAAAGCTTATTTTATGTACTACAAAATGAAAAAAAAAAATTTGTCCCGACACTTTTTTTTCTACATTTAAACGGCTGCCGTAGTTAAAAAAACACTATTTTTGTGTTAAAATTTTCGATTTTCGATTTTAAATTTTCAACTTAAAAATACTATAACTTTTTGAAAAATGTATATATCAGCACAAATTTTTTTTTTCTAGATACATTATAAGTATATCTTTCCTTTAACATAATTTTTATTAAAATTGGACAATTTCCCCTTATATAGGGGGCGTTCAAAACTTAAAATATTGTAAAAAACATAGATCTTTTTCAACTGAACTTTTGAAAATGTTCCGGAAATACTGCGTCCTTTAAACATATATCAAATCAAAGGTTATGTTATATACTATCAAATGAAAAAAAAAAATTTGTCCCGACATCTTATCTTCTATGTGCAAATGGCTGTCGAAAATTTTAAAAAAAATGTAATGTTTGCGATAAAAATTACATTTTATCGGGATGTTTTTTGTACTTAAAACTGCCATAACTTTTTCAAAAATGAACAAATAAAAATAATATTTTTTTGTATTGAAACCTTAGATATTTCCCTTTCATTTGATATAATTTTTTTTGAAATTCTAACATATATTTTGCTCACTGGGAGGATTTAAAATAGTAACTTTTTCAACTTAATTTTTGAAAATGTTCCGAAAATACTGCGTCTTTAAACATATATAAAATTAAAGCTTATTTTATGTACTACAAAATGAAAAAAAAAAATTTGTCCTGACTATCTATCTTCTATACGCAAATGGCTACCATATTGAAAAATATACTATTTTTGTATGATAATTATGGGTTTTGTATTTTATTTTAATAGAAGTTGATGTTGCTTTTGCAATTATCCATCAATTTTTTAAAATTAAACACTATCTACAGATTTGCATCGAAGCGTTTCTTATGATAGTGATTTTAATCACTGTCAGAATAAATCTATACTGGACCCAACTATGCAATGTCTCCACTATGCCGCGACCCCACTGTGCTATTTTTTTTTTTTTATAATTGACAATCCATATACTGATGTATTTTCATTATTTTTTTCAAATTTTTTTATTTCGTCAATAGGCGTAGGAAATGATAATCCGGAAAAATTATAATTGTGTTTTAATGATCTATGATTAGTTCCAACAAAATGAGAATTATTTTTTCCTCACATTTTTTTAGCCAATATCGCCCATTTAAAACAACAAGATTCGATATTTTGAGGATTTATAATACAGTGTTTATTTTTAATATCTTACGGTAATTCTATATATGAGCTGGCCGAAAATGGGGAATATTTATAAACGCCGAGAAGTATCCCATACATATTTAAAAACGTAAAATTGCTCCCCTTGCCGGCGTAATTCTCCTCCTCTTCAAATAATTTTTCGAATGTTTTATCAACAATCTTGCCATTATAAACTGTAGGCAAATAATTCCTCGGCGCTTGTTTTAAAAGAACGATTTTCATTTGTATCGAGTTGATTTGGTATATTAGAAGTGGACTCCAATTTTAAATTAAATTTGATAGGACCCATCGCTATATTATAATCAATACCGTATTTTGTGAGATCTATATTATGTTGTAATTTATTTAATTCCAATAATTAAATTATAAAAGTATTTTTAATACTTACGGCTCAAGAGCGTTTTTCTCTGAAAATGTCAAACTGCATACATGACATGGAAATCTAATCCCGTCGTGTTTTATTCGATGCCTCACTAAATTTCTTTTGACGGAAAAAGTTTTTTCTCACTTTTCACAGTGAAACATATTTATAATATAAATTTAGTGAAGTCGATTAAGATTCTAATAAGCATCAGTGATTTATACTGCAAGTACCACGATGTGATCAATGCTTTATCATAAATCAGCAACTGTCTCTTATCTTAAGATGCGTAATAATGGTCTGCGAGTTAAATACATTTTACGCCCCTCCGTATATTGTGCGAGAGAGTTGTAGATATATTATATTATTGAAGTGGTTATTATCAGTGGTCCACAATCAGAAATTGGTGCAGTATAAATCTAGCCGTATCCAGGAAAAAATGAGCGAGATAATAAGTATCAGCAGTGATTCGAATAATTTGAGTCGCGAATTATTAACTTTTGAGGACATATTTAACGGTTAGAATACATTTTTAATTACGACTAAATAATATTTACTAATATTTAAAAATTAATTTAGCTCAAAATACGCAAGGTTTTAGTGATAGTGATAGTGATCAAACTAACATGACACGGCCCGCGTCGCTTCGTTATACACGATGGCCCGCGACTCGTGCCACCTTTATCAGCCGTCGCCCTACTATGAGTATTTGACTGACCAACACCGCGTGTTATACGCTACGGTGCAAAGTCCAGCAAATGCCGCACGGCCCGCCGCAAATGGTGCGTGAGTCTTCCTCCCTTTGTGATAGCGACAACGTCGACCAACCGATCCGCACCCGCGCACCATCGCCTTCAACGCTGCTAACCATTTTGCCGTCCAAGGATTACGCCGGACATCACGTCGTCGACGCCAGCGAAAGTGCCGCGATATTATGCGAAGATTATTATTACTGTATTTATCTTATCGGTTTGTTTATTTTTATTAAAATAATGTGTTGTCGCTCATTTAATATACGGCCCACGGGTCTCTACAGGCACGGCGCCAAGGGAGGGCAAAGTGGGGCTCGAGCCCCCCCCAGAAAACCGTCCAGCCCCTTCGCCAGCCCCCCCTATTGAAAAATATTTACGAAATAACAATAACTATCAAAAAGTCACATTACATTATTTTTAAAAGAACTTCATAATAGAAATTACGAAATATACTTTTTAAATATTTGAAATTTATATTAATACTTTCATTGGCTTTATAATTTATAAAATATCAAAATGCCGTGATTATAATATTCATAGTGTATACAAGCCTACGTTATCGCGTTCGTATCAATGTGTCAACGCCTTACATAGTCTATTTTTAAACAGGTTTTTATTAGATGATTATAAGACGTCAATTTTATTTTGTTTATCAGTGCATTTGCCGTCGTGTACGTGTATGTTTATTCGTGTGTTATATAGTGCAAATTTGTTTTATTTGATTTTTGATTAATACTTCTAACATGAGTAAAGACAATAGTTGTATTAAATTAAGAAAAATCTATTCGTTTTTTGGTCCAAATTCACATAAAGGAGAGACCGAAACGGCATGTAAAAAAATTAAAATCGAAAATACAGAAAATGAAGAATGGGAAGTTCAAAGCAATGACACCAGTATTGGTACTGATAATCATTCATCAGATTCAGATGATTTTCAACAGTTAAACGATCTACAAGAAATAAAGAATGTTGAACCAGAACAGAATCAAAAACAGGTAATTGAGAATCAAATGGAAATTTTTTCTAAAATAGGACCTAGTGATATAACACATATAGTCAGTGATCCACCAACACAACCAATTTTAAAAAATTACCCACAGTCTAAGTTTGGGAAAGAATGGAGACAATTCCGTCCTGAATGGTTCAAATCATATCCTTGGCTTGAATACAGTGTATTAGATAATGCTTGTTATTGTTTTCCTTGTAGATTTTTTTCTCATAACTCTGATAATTCACCATTTTATAAAATTGGATTCAAAAATTGGAAAAAAGCTCTTGATAAAAATGCAGGAATTAAAGGCCATAATAAATCTTGCATACATAAAACTTGCATGACGAAGTGGGAAGGGTATAAAAACTCCAAAAAAACAAAATCAATTTTAACAACATTAAATGAGGCTAATTTATCTTTAATTAAAGAAAATCGATATTACATTTCAGTTATTTCAGAAATATTATTGTTCACAGCCTGTCAAAATATTGCACAACGAGGTGATGATGAAGGGTCAGAAAGCCTCAATAGAGGAAATTTTTTAGAACTTCTAGAACTTTGTGCTAGGAGAGACGCAAGATTTAAAGCTAAAATAGATATATTACCAAAAAATGCGAAATATACTCATCATACTATTCAAAATGATTTATTTTATGTAATGAGTAAATTAGTTTTAGAAACTATTGCGAAAGAAGTTAAAGAAGCCAAATATTTTGCTATTCTTGCAGATGAGACAAAAGACGTGAGCAAAACTGAGCAGTTATCTATTATGGTTCGTTATTATCATAATAACACAATGAATGAACGATTTTTAGGGTATGTTCCTTGTAATGAATTAAATGCGAAGGCTCTTTTTGATTACATAAATAAAACACTGTCAGACTGTGGAATAAATATTAAAAACTGTATAGCTCAAACTTATGACGGTGCAAATATAATGAGTGGTAAACAAAACGGGGTTAGGTCAATTTTTCAACAGCATGTTCCTCAAGCACTTTACACACATTGTTTTAATCATAGATTAAATTTAGTAATTGTTGATGTATGTAAAAATATACCTGAAATAGAAAAATTTATTACTCTACTTCAACAATTGTACAACTTTATTAGTAGGTCAACTGTTCATACTAAATTCATAGAACTTCAAAATAAATTATTACCGAAAAAAAAAATTATGGAACTAAAAAGGATTTGTGAAACTCGATGGATATGTCAAATTTCTGCTTGTATCGCTGTAAAAAAAACATTTCCTGTGATATTACTTTTATTACATCAAATAAGCCTAGAATCCAAGAGTGAAAAAGAAATGGAAGCTAAATCACTATTATTTCACATTAATTTTGAATTTATATTTTGTCTCTACTTATTTTGTGACACATTTAGTGAGATAAAAATTGTGTCAGATTATTTACAAAAACCAGATTCAGATTTGGGTTCTAGCTGTCTACTAGTAGAATCATTAATTAATTACCTTATGGAATTTAGAAACACCTCAAACAAGTTTGAAGATCTTTTGACAGAAGTGGAATTATGTGCACAAAAAAATAATATTCAACTTCCTAATGAAACAGTTAAAGAAACAAGGATTCGCAAACTTCCTAAACAATTTTCATCATATATAACTGAAGTAACAACTTCTGAAAGTAGAAAAATTAGTAATAATAACGATATAAAAACAATGATATTTTTTCCAGTCCTTGATAGAATGGTTAGTGAACTCAATAGAAGATTTTCAGATCATAGTGAAATTTTAACAGGTATCAGCGCCCTTATCCCAAAATGTGACACATTTTTAAATTTTACAAATATCAAACCGTTAGCTGAACACTATAAATTAGACATAGAAAGCTTAGAATCAGAACTAACACTAATTACAAAACTGATTAAGCGACATGAAGCTGAAAACGGTATTCAGATAAAAACAATTCTTGATTTTATGCAGTTACTTGAAAAATATAAATTAGCGTTTTCTGAAATGTATATACTCTGTATTATTTCTATTATCATTCCACCATCTAGTGCTGGAGTTGAAAGAACTTTCTCCAGTTTAAGACAAATTAAAAATTACATGAGAAATAAAATGACTAATAAAAGGCTTTCAAATATAGCAATTTTATCTATAGAAAAAAAAATTGCTAAGAATTTAGATTTGGAAGTTGTTGTGGATAAATTTGCAGCTATTCACAAAAACCGAAGAATATTATTAACTTGAATAAATGTTTGATGTAAAAAAACAGTGTTCAATTTACTTATTATTTTAAAAATTTTTAATTAAATAATAATATTGTATAAGATAAATTTACTTCATACATTTTTAATTATACATTTTGTTTAAATGTCTAATTAATATAAAAAGGATTTCATAGAGTATTTATTTATTTATTTTAATGACCTATGAATTATTATAACATCTTACAAAGTTAGTACTTAAATGTGTACACTTAACACCAACTATTTAAAAATTTATTTGATTGGAAATTTGAAATCTACTTATTAAATATTTGGTAGGTTATCACCAGTTTTTATTTTAAAAATATTATTTTTGCTGGTATTGGTACAAGATTTTCAACCATTTACAACATGGTGCATTATTAGGTATAGTGTGAAATATCAAAATTTAGTTTATTTGATATATTTGCTACTACTCAATAAATTCAAAAATTAATTGAATGTATTATTAATCATAGTCATTGAATTAATGAAATTAATAACATTTTCATGATGAATGAACAACATTCAGATAGAATAACATTTTTAGTTTTTTATAGATAAACCTTATAGTATTGCCTAATGAGAAAAATTATTTCCTAAAATTTCAATCAAATATATTTTAATATATTTCTAATATTTTCATTTGTAAAGTGAGAAAAAATATTTTATTCATTTATTATTACATTTATTGAGTACTAATTATTGGATGAAAATAAAGAAACAAAGGTTAAATTTGAGTTAAATCAATTCATCTGTTCAATACTAAATACAATTATTTTAATTTATATTTATAAAATATAAGTTAAAGAAGCTTAATCATTCAGTCACTAAGGTATGTGAAATTAAAGAAACTTGTCTGTTATTATACATTTTCTTATATTAGATAGAAATATTTGACAGTATTCTTCAACAAATTTTAACTATTTAAAACTTTGTACATACTATTTATTTATATTTTATTTAAATGGTCCGAGTACTTTCTGAAACACTTTAGCCCATGGAATAAAAATATTTGCCCCGCTCTGCCCCCCCTAGAAAAAATTGCTAGTGCCGTGCCTGGGTCTCTACCATCAAAACCAGTGTCGACCACATTTTTTTTCGACGTAAGTCGTGTCAAACATTACAATCAACAGTGAACAGACTAACATTTCAATCAATAGTATACAACCGGTTAGCGGTAAGTAATGATAAAAATGTTATTTATTGAGGAAAATAACAAACATTATTTAATTTATATTATAGTCCTGAATTGCGAGTGTAATACAGTAACGATCGATTTTACAGTAAACGGTGTTTGGTGTATGTATACTTTAACATTGGTCCACATAATTTAAATCCAAATTAAATTCTAATTTAATTTTTATTCAGCTTCGTATACAAGCAGCAAACCTATTGGTATAGTTAAACCCGTTAGACGACGAAATGACATTGTGAGTTTTTATTTACAAATAGTGTTATTAAAATATATTTAGCAGATAATGATTTCAAATCCATTTATGTATTCCTTATATAGGGGGTGTAATTCTTACCATCTGTTAAAAAATATCTATTTTAGTGCATTTTAGTGCAAAAAATTTTTCGATCATTATTTTATTCTTCTAGAAATCCATAATTTTTTCTTAAAGAATGACGAGTGACAAGAGAAATATTTTGGCTGATTCAAAATTGAGCATTAATGCTCATTCGCCATCTAAATCGAGTAAGTTCGCTGCTGGGTATTATATACTGCGATTTTAAAGCTCTATTAAAAAAAACGGATAAAAAATGGAGGCCTGATACCCGTGATATTCAAGAACATAAACCGATGAGCTATGGTTTTTTAGTAAAAGCGGCGAATAGTGTTCCAGTTGAATTATTAAAACACTTTAATATTATGATAGAACCAAAAATATACAGAGGAAATAAAAATAGTCGGTCGGAAGATGTCGCCGCTCGGTTTGTAAAAGATAATATGTGAGGAAGCTGTGAAAATCGAAGAACTGTTGAAAACAAATAATGAAATTTTCATAACTGATAAAAAAACTGAAATACATGCATCAAAAACAAATTGCGATCTGTGTAACAATGAATTTAATGATTCGAATCACAAAGTTGCCGATCATAATCATTTAAGCGGCAAATTCAGACATACACTATGCAGCAATTGCAATTTAAAATTGAAAACAGTATCGTTTGTACCTGGATTTCATCTGCCGGATGGTGCTGTATTGGGTGAGGCCGAGTTAGGTTCGTCGGGTATGACTGGCTGGGGTTTCACGCGTCCGCCAGATGACGCTCGGAAGTGTCGGGTTGCGTTGAGTTTCGTCGTGTAAGATTGCGCCGTGTTTCATTTACCCCTCCCCACCACCACCCATTATATCATTTGGGACGAGGTTGAGGAAGTCGAGCCGAGGGGGATGGTCGGCATACAAATTATAACTACTGTTAATGATAAAAAAAATCAGCCAATTTTCATAAATTAACTGGAAAGTTGCTCTTTTAATGTACTTTACTATTACATTAATTAAATATTAATCAATTGCTGATAAAACCATATTTCTATTGAAATCAATAAAAGCATAAAGCTAAAAATAATATAATAAAATATTGCATTTATTATCGATACCTGTATTATTGTAATCTTAAAACCACAACAATGAAATATATAAAATATTTTTTATTAATTAAATTGTTGATATTTCAACATGTGAATATCAATGATCAATTATTAAGTCACTTATATTTGATCAAACTAGGTAAATCACGTATAAAGTGTATTTTTTAATTGAAAATTTAGACTGGTAAGTCAATTACTATATTTAATATTATGGTTAATAATCTAAAAATAAACATTGTATTTATTCTAACATAAGTAAAATTTTTTATTTAACTCAAAATAGATGCACTTATGTAATACATTCGGCACGGATGGTCTTATGATCATCTTACTATGTAACTGCTATACAGCTTTTTTCAGATAAATAACACAATATTGTTATTTTAAATATTTCTTAAAATCAAATACCATTATTATATTACTTTACTACATATTTTTGTATGATCTCTGTCATTTTCGTCAAATTTTCGATCAATAAATCGTAAAATTTTTATTATTATATGAACAATTAATGTTATTATTTGAATCAGTATTGTAAAAGAGTCGTTGAAACGATTAAATTTCCCTATATTGATAATAAGTTTAGGATATAAAATTATAGTCTCATACGTATTTACCGTGAATTTTGTTTTTTTATGTTTAACATCAGACTTTTATTAGATGATAACACACTTTGTAAAAATAGTTCCATATTTTTATTTGTTTGTAATGCAATTAGACAAACAACATAAACTAATAAACTTTAATGCTTTAAATTATAAATCCGAAAGTTTTAAAAAGACCACTAACTTGAAGCCTTTAAGTTTCTTTAAATTATAGTTTTTTGACACTTATGGTGATCGATCGTTTTCTCACACGTGTTAAAATTAAATAATAAAATTGTTGAAAAACTACTATGAATTTGTAAAAACATATATGTTAAAAAATGTTATTATCATGAACAAAATTGTAAGCATTTATACACACATGTAGCTAATTTGCCTATACAGAATGACGTGACGATATCAACTAGTATTTTTGTTTGAGTTATTGAATTTGTATTGCAAATGTAAAAACTATATGAAAGCGTTAAAAATTTTCTTTAGTTACCAGCATATAATTTATTTGCCTTAGATATGTAATTTACTAAGGTTCAATGTTCTATATTATGCTTATTTTTTAGTCACAACTGAGTGGTGAAAATAAATTAAAAAATTTAATACGTGAAATAAATATTTTTCCCTATATTAATTTATATTTTATCGAATAATTTCTGAAAAAAAAAAATGAAGAGATTATATAACTATTTATTCAATTGCAAAAAACATTTTTAAATTTTTTTTTAAGATATCAATAAAAAGTCTGACAAACTCTTCAAAATGTATAACATGTTAAAACATGTACTTTTAATTTTTTTCATAGGTAAAGTATTATACATTTAATTATTATATAGCTAATGTTGCCAATAAAATTGTTTTGTTGGCTTATATAAAAGTTTTTTAATTATAAAAATGTTGTGTTTAAAATTAAATATTTCAATTATAATAGAAACAATAGTAGAATAAATCTGTAGTATTTTGTGTGATAACCTATTAAGAGCTCTTCTACTTGCGTATGAATATAGTAAAATTCGTTAGAAAATCTGAGGTGGTGGAATATCTGCCAAGTAGTTTATTTGATCAATGACTCAAGCTATCAGATTATTAACATCGTTCAAAAAACAATAATTTTATATGGCAAGTGTAATAAAGTGGTTAAAATTGTAAAGATTTCTTATGATAAATTTGTTGTTATTGTAAATATATATAATGAATATATAAATTGTGAATAAAGCTGTATTTAATTTACCACACTTTATTTATTTATAAAATTTATGAGGTATTATATTATTTTATCAGTTTGTAAAATATCATTTTCAATTGCAAATTTGTTAAAATATTATAGTATGTTGATTTTATATCTGCATAAAAATTATTAATTGCATTATTACTTTATTTTTATGGATTGAAAACAATAAAAAAACAATATAAATCACAAGAATGTAATGTAATATGGTAATGTTTATTTAATAGCGTACATAAATATCATAGAAAAGTATTTTATAAACAATCATTAAGTATTAATTTTCTACAAATGAATCTATATGGTTTAAGCAAATCTAAAATAAAAACGTATGACGATAAATTTTAAAACAACTTTTTTCCTAATACTATCAATTTATGTCTAGAGTGAATTTATTAATAACTGTATTACCTATATTTTCTTCCTAAAGGTGTAATTAGTAATAATCTCTTTAAATAAAATGAAACAGAATACAATTATAACACAATATTTTAGTTTTTATACAATTGTGTTAAATGTTAATAATATATTTTTTTTTATAAAAAAATAGTTATTTATTATATATTATACAATCTCTATAGATA